ATTTATTGGTCAGGGAGCCTAGCTGACACATGGGGAATGGCAAGACACCTCAGTGCTGGCATCCTTTCCTAATCATTTATTTTCATCATGTGGCCATTCACAGGTAACTTTGGTTGCAGCTTCTACCCTTAGTGCATTATTATCTGTATGTTGTCCTTATCTTTCCCCAGGCAACCAGTCAGCCATTGAGAATTTGAAGAGGCAAGAAAACTCTCTACCCTTTGTCATTCCAACCACAAGGGAAGCCTGCAACAGCAATAGTGACAGATGAGTACCTCTGTTGGGTTGCCACTTTTGTCCTAGGGTTCCTAGGCTATTCTAGAGTGCATGGAAGACAATCATGTAAAGAAGAGGGGCATCTGTGCAACATACAAGGTCATATCCAACTAAGTACGACTCACATGAGACTAATTGAGATTAATAGTCCTAAGTTAGTCGGGTCCATTAATTTCAGTGGGTCTACTCTGAGTAGGATGGCCCAGAGCCACCTTAACACCATGCTCCCAATTCCCATTCCAAAAATACAAGCCAGAAGAAAACTATCATCACTGGTATGAAAAGCAGTGGAGACTTCCAGGAAAACCAACAGGATGGTTGATGAAGAAAGTGTCAGGAAGGATTTTTATAAGCCCTTCCACAAGGAGAGGAAACAATATGGACTAAGCATGTTTGTTTGTAGCATTTATTCTACTCTTTTAAAAAATAATTAATCTTTATTAATTTTGTAAAAGACGAGGCTTCAAATAATAAAAAACCCACATGGTAGAAATCCCCAGAATTTATAACAAAGGTAAGTAAAATTAAATGGGATACAAAATACAATTTCATCTTATTATTCTGTCTCTCTTCAGAGGCTCCTTAGTGGACAGCAACAGAGGGTTTTTATTCACTATTACTCCTATTCAGAGTAGACCCATTGAAAAGAATGAATATGACAAACTCTGGATCGGATTTAACTAAATGAGGCTCATCAGTGGAAACCCTGCACAAAGACTTTGCTTGCATATTGGGGTTTTTCCTCTCTCCCTCCTGTGTGGCTCCATGAAGTGGACTGTGGGAGGAGTCAGGAGAACAGTGTGCTGAGGGAGAAGAGTGAGGGATCAGGATACCGGTAATTGTTCTGTCTGGCAAGCCAAAATGCTCATTCTGACCGGTGATGTTGAATCAACAGCCTTGGCATGTTGTTGAATTCTTCCTTCCAGTTTAGGGTTGCCATACAGTATTTCAAAAAGTGAAATACGCTCAAAATTGTCCAGCTTTTTAAACTGATTTCTGAAAATTCTGCCCAGATGCTATTTTCGGAGGACGAATCCTGGATATGTCTGGGAAATTCCAGATGTATGGAAGCCCTATTCCAGTTCATTAAATTCAGTGGGTCTCCTCTGAGTATAACTTGGTTGGATACAACCCCAAGTTCCAAAAAAAGTAGTCATGCATCTCCAATGTAAAGTATTTCTTGGTGTTAGGAGTACCACAAGCTCATATACCTTGCATCCCTACCTTCAGAGGCTCTGCTCTCTCTATCGAAGAGATGCTCTTCACAGATGATGCAGCCTTGACAGCACACTCCAGGAAAACTCTAGAAGCTCACCAACCATTTTGCCCAAACCTGAAGAGAGTTTGGCCATCAGCCTGATGAAGATGAACCACCTGGTCAGGATGTTGCTACCACTCCAAGCATCATTGGTGAGGTGGTAGATGATTTTGTCTACCTGAGTTTCATCAGCACTAAGCTGGACAAGCGTATTGGCAAGGCAGCCATGTCAATGGCTCACTTCTCCAAATGGGTATGGGAGAGTGTGATGCTAATGGCCAAGATTAAGTTGAAGGTCTACCAGGCGTGTGTGTTGAGCACACTGCTTTATGACTCATGGGCAACACCTCACTTCAGAAGATTACCACTTGTGGGCAATTCCACCACATCTGGATGTATGTGCCCTATTCTTGCCCACATCCAGCATTTCTGAGAATTTGACTGGGAGATGCAGCATAATTTAACCAATGTGAGATGCCTGCAAAATATGATTTTAAGTACTGTTTCCTTTACTTGTGCTGACATCAAGCAAATTGATTTACTATTCCATGTTTTTTTCCAAAGCTGTATCACTCAACTCTGCCTAGGTCTCAATCTCAACATATCTTGTAAGTTTTCCATGTCCAGAGTCATTAACAGATGGTAAATTTTGGAAATTTGTCTTTTAGAGTTCACATTTGCTACTAACATAATTCCTTCAAAGTTCTCATGGCTTGTGTTTTTATGCTTTGTCTTTGTGGTAAAGGAACTTACTGTATTTGCTTAATATTGAGCCAGTTGTTACCTAACATATCCAGTGCCTCCTGCAAAGTTACTTCACTCTTGGGACCCACACTTGTATCGAACTGACATGGTCTGTACTGTTCCTTGCCTTTCCATCCCTTAAACTGTTGCACTCCATGAAGGAATGAACTATTAGGTTGGTAAAGCAAAGGCTGGGCTGGTGCCAGACCTTTCATCCAAACCTTAAGTGTTACTCTGAAATATGGATTGGAGACCCATGACAGAATTTTTGGACATTTGCCTAAACAGGGGAACTGCATTTACTCTTCAGCACAAGAGGTTTCTGGAGTGTCTTACAAAAATCCGTAACGGGACACTCCCTGCCCTCAGTTTTGTGGACACAACTTGAGAGGAAAAGAGATTGGGAGGAGGGGGAAAAAATCAAGACACTAGTTCTTAGTTACAAAGTTCTTACAGACCAATGGAAATAGGTCAAGGAAAAGAAAAGCCAAAAGTTGCAGATCTCTTAGCTGTATCTCACCATAACCAAAACAAGGAAGAGATAGCACTGGATGCAAGAAAAGAGAAGAGAAGAGAAGAGAAGAGAAGAGAAGAGAAGAGAAGAGAAGAGAAGGTTTTCCAAAGTGCCCTAAAATGTGTATTATAGTTGTTCATTCCCAAAGCATTTTGGAAAAAGTTTTGATTCTGCTGGGAAATCCAAAACATATAAAAAGGAATACATGATGTATCATTTTTTTTTAACTGGAACATCTTGAAAACTTTTAAACACAAAGAAATGCACTTCAGAATAACCAATTGAATATCACACCTCTCAAACTCACATATGTAAACAGAAAACCAGTGCTAGTATAAACCAAACCTATTAACTTAAAATACAAAGTCATACTGAAGTCATACTGAACCCACTTGTACCAACAACAGCAAATACACTTTATACAAATCTAGTTGGGCATGAACAAGTATTCACTGACAGCAGGCTATCTTAGGGGCACAGGGTAGACACCTTGAGACACCTCCAATGTTTTGCTGTCATCCCTCAGCATCTGCTGCCTCACTCTGTCCAGTGGCTGGACCAGCACTGTTCACATCTCTCCCTGTCCTGCAGCCTGATGGAATGGTAGCTGCCAGGTGACAGTTGATGGAGGGAGGAACCTGACAGAGTGGGCTTCTCAGCAGAGTAAAGATACAGGAAGGATAAGATGGGATGACAAATCTACCTTCCTACATATCCATCAATTGATTTAAGTGCATTCAGACACTTGATCGTCTTCCAAAGTTCCACTCTTAGGCAGAGTAACCCATGGGTGCAGAAGACATGGTATCCATTGTCCTGCCATTTCACTATGGCCAGGATGGGAAGGTAAGGGGTCCCTTCCTCTTCCTCCTCCCCCACTGATGACAGCAGGATGAAATTAACACTGATTCCACTTGTGTGGGCATGTCAGAATTAGGTGGTTTTAGATTTGATGGATCCATGCTTGCACCCAACACACTCAATTTTCCTCTGCATCTGCTACAGGAAAAGCTATGCTGCCAGAACTTTTGGCTGGTGGGCCAGGGAAGCTTTGGCAAAATGTCATTCCATCAGACAACCTCACTCTCTACTGGCTGATTGGGACCTTCTAAGGCTTGTTTACAAAGCTATTGTACTATCAACCTTACTATATGCTTGTGAAACATGGACCACTTATAAACGCCATCTCCAACTCCTGGAAAGATTCCATCAACGGTGTCTCTGAAAAATTTTACACATCACTTGGGAAGGCAGGTGAACCAATATCAGTGTACTGGAAGAAGCAAAGATCATCAGTGTTGAAGCAATGATTCTTCAACATCAACTTCGTTGGACTGGTCATGTTGTGTGGATGCCTGATGATCATCTTCCAAAGCAACTACTCTATTCCGAACTTAAAAATGGAAAGCATAGTGCTGGTGGTCAACAAAAGAGGTTTAAAGACTGTCTCAAGGGAAATCTAAAAAAAAAAGCAGTATAACCACTGACAACTGGGAAGCACTGGCCTGCGAGCGCTCCAGTTGGAGAATAGCCTTTACCAAAGGTGTCATGGGCTTTGAAGACACTCGAACTCAGGACACAAGGGAGAAAGGTGCCAAGAGGAAGGCACGTTTGGCAAATACACTCTGTGATCAACTCCCGCCTGGAAGCCAATGTCCCCACTGTGGAAGGACGTGTGGATCCAGAATTGGCCTCCACAGTCACTTACGGACTCATTGTTAAAACTGTGTTTATGGACGACAATCTTACGCGGCTACGATCGCCAAAGAAGAAGAAAGAAGAAGATAGTCTACATTGCCTCTTCAACTATTGAAACATACATGAAGAACAAGATACTGTATATGAGTTTGCCCATTGTAATGTACTCTATCTATCTCCCAATAAGAAATAATCTGTAAGCCATTTTTTTCCTCACCAGGAAAGGTTTTGTGCATGTTTTCAAAGGCAGTTAACAAAAGGTTTTGTAATGTTAAAACAAGGTGGAATGGTTATGTTTCTCAACAGGAAATCAAGTATTTCTTAATTCTTTGAAAAGTTTTTAGCATGGTTGTTGTTTTTTTTAGAAGATGAAAGGTGGGTATTGCTGAACAATAGCATTTTTTTGCACAAATAGAACAGTGAATATGGGCAGTGTTAAGAATTCTGGTCTACTTTAAACGAACTTTAAAATAATTTTCCCCCTCCCAGAACAGAAAACATGAAATATCATGGCCACTAATTTAATCTTTTATGAAGTTATAATAGGCTCTTGTCAATAGCATATCAAAGTATGGTAACAACCATCACAAAGTGACAATGCTCAGGTTAATCCCTAATAAAGTTAGGTACGTACTGTGTACGGACAGATATATATTTTTTAATAAAAATCTTATCATTCAGTTCCTTTGAAATATTTCAAACCTCAGTTTCCTTTGTGTGCGTCATTTTGGGTGTGCATGTAAAAAAGAATGAAAAATTAAAAGCGGCGTTTTGCTCTTTCCAAAACGCGCAACTGTGTCACACACTGAACTGGTTGGGGCGGACTGCAAAACGTTCTATTAAGACCGGGCGACTTAGTCACTCGCTGCACCATTAACTAAGAGCAAACTTAAGTTTTGCAAAGGGTCAGCAGATGACAGCTCGGAAGCGATCAAGGGGGCTTGATTTTCTTTGCGACCAAGAAACAAACAAACAAGCAAGCGAGCGAGCGAGCGAGCTCTTTTAAAGGGGACCCTCCTTTCACGCCGCGCTTTGCAAAAGGCAAAAGGCAGCTCGCTCAAGTTCGCCGAAGCGCCGTTCCTTAATAATGCTCTGTGAATGCGGCTCGAGCTGCGGTGTTTCATTTTCTTCCCCCAGCCTGGTGCGCCGATCGCCTCTCCTTGTGGCTGGCTGGGTACTCCCGCACTGTGTGCTTGTTGTACTCTCTCTCTCTCTCTCTCTCTCTCTCTCCCTTTCTCTCTCTCTCTCTCCCCCCTCCCTTTCTCTCTCTCTCTCTCTTACACTGCCAGCCCCTGATGTGATGGCGAAGAAACCCCGTTGACAAGGCACTGCTTTTTCATGACGGTGAGTTTCCCTTTGAGTGTATTATAATTTTGTGATAAAAATTTCAAGGAAGAAAAAAAAAACACACAACCTCCTTCCTCCCTTCCTTCGGGGAGGGAAAAGAGAGAGAGAGAGAGAGAGCGGGGGTGGTGGTGGTGGTGGGGGGAAGAAGAAGAGAAAGAGAGAGAGAAATCTATCTCCAGACCAGACAGAAAAGAAAAAAAGAGGAGCAAATTAACAACCAGGAGTTGCCAAAACCAGGATATTAGGTTTCAGCCCAGAGAGCTATTGGCTCCGGGGCTATGTATATAAATATATATCTAGAGAGAGAGGAGAGAGAGAGGGGGGACGCGGGGAGGAAGATGAAGGAGGAGAAGGCGATTTGGCGCGGGTGGGCAGGCTGCTAATTCGCAGGGAAATGAAATATTTATTTCTTTTTTGCAGCTAGAGGCCGCGGCGGCGGCGGCGGCGGCGGCTACTGAGGGCACTTCCAAAAAATGTTGTTTCTTAAAGGGGGAGAGACAGGCAAGGAGGGAGAGAGAGAGAGAGGAAGAGGGAGAGGACAGATAAGGTTTCAGGTCTAGGCTGATAGCTGAGAGAGAGAGAGAGAGAGAGACGGGGGGGCTGGGAGAGAGAGAGAGAGAGGACTGGGGTGGGTTTTTCTCTCTCCCCCCCCTTCTCTCTCTCGCTGATGCCATGCAAATTTAGGAGAGGAGGGAGAGAGGGGAAGGCGAGAGAAGAAGGAGGAAAAAAAACAACCTCGTTTTAATGACTCATTGATTGAGCCGGTTTAAAATTAGTTGTTGTTGTGTTTGGGGTGGGTTTTGTGTGCTTTTTCCTGGCCGCCCCCTTGGTGGCCATCAAGAGGGAGGAAGAGGGGTGTGTGTGTGTGTGTGTGTCTGTCTGTCTGTCTGTCTCTCTCTCTCTCTCTCTCTCTCTCTCTGTGTGTGTGTGTGTGTGGTGTGTGTGTGTGAGGAAGAGGGGGATCGAGAGTGTGTGTGTGCGAGGGAGAAAGAAAAATAATCTTTTCAAATCTCCTCCCTCTTTTCTTCCCCCCTCGTTTCTTTGCTTTTCTCTAAAGCTCTCTGGTCTGTGAAGCACTTTTTCCCTTTCCTCCTCCTCGGGAAAATGGAGACGCTCCGTCTTCTCTCTCTCCTGGGCGTGAGGCTGCCAAGGATTTTTCTTTTTCTTTTGCGTTCCTCGTTGGATTTGCTCTCATCGACCACCTCTTATCATCTTGTCATAATTTTCCGCTATATCTTTTTAGCATGGGCTGTGCTTTTTTGGTTTTTTTACGGGGATTCCCAATTCGTTTCGTTTATATGGTTTCCCCCCCTTCTTTTGTTATTCGGTGTTTTTCTTTTTCTTGTCTCCTCCGGTATCGCGTTTAAAGGAATGGAAATGGTGATTGTTTCTGTGTATGTGATTCTACGTCGGTAGGATTAAAGAGGGTGGGGAGGGGGAAGAATAAAGAAACCTTAATAGTAGGCTGTAATACACGTTTTTTAAAACGGCAAGAATAATAAATATTCTACATCTGTAATAACGCCTTCGTTTTTGTCTTTCGATGTACGTGAGCTTGTTAACTGCCGCCGGATTAGTCTTCCAACAAAGTACTTTTTTGTGGTTAATTGATTTTCAGTTATGGTTACATTATAATAGGGGGGGATGGGGGAAGAGAAAGCCTTAGTTAAAAGACTGGCTTGAAAAATCTCTGAAATGTTGGATCATTTTTGAGGTGGGTCGCCGATTTTCTTCCCTCCCTTTAAAACCGAAATGGGTTTCCCGAGGGTTGGGGTGTAAACGTCGGTAAGGTTAAAACAGCTTGTTATATGTATCTTGTTCTGAGAGCGGAAACAGGTTTAGCATTCGTAAAAATAAATAAATCGCCTATTGCTGGGCGAAGGAAGGACAATGAGGCCTTTACTTTTCCCGGGGTGAGGATGTTGTTGTTTTTAAAAACCCTTAAACATGCATGGCTTTTGAATCTCTTAAGCACTGATCGTGCTTTTCCAAAGCTCAGTCGAGGAGGCTGTTTTTTTTCTCTCCGTATCTGCGTTTACATGGCGGGGTTCGGTCTGGTTTGTGCCCCGCTTCGGAGGGACCAGGAGGAGAGAAGATGGCGCTGCCTGGCTACCGGCCAGGATTTGTGGCGCAGTTTCTCTCCGTTCTCTCTCGTCCCCTTCAAGCCGCCATTTTGAGAGACTCCTGACATTTCTTCCCGGGCCGGGGCGTTGCCCTCCGTTGCTTCCCGCGGTCTGGTCTCGTTACCTCAGAACAGACTCCAAAATGCTCCCTCACGAGCAAAATAATAACTCCTTACCCCACGCACTGAGGAAATTTATTTTTTATTTTTTATTATTATTTCCTAGAGTAATTGCTTTCCTAACACCCCACCTCAAAATTTATGTGGAATGCGAATCGAAAGGTGTGTGTGTGAGAGAAGATATATATTTTTTAAAAATGGCTACTCTTATTTTAAATTATCCAGTCCTAAGCACGCAGTTTACCCATTCAGTGCAATGGGTAGCTGTTAAAACGCTGCTGCTCCCTTTTGCCAGATTCTCCTACACTATAGTATAGTGGATATGGAAATCACTTAATCCCATGTTATGTCTGCCAAACAACAAAGGGGCTGCTGGAAAATAAGCGATATGTAAAATTTAAAAATGGAGGAGCAGCACTTTCTGAATTGGCCTAGATTTCATTCGTCGCTGTAGGTGGGCATTTTTACACGGTGTACCAAGGGGGTCCTGTTTGCTAAAAATCGAATAAGTGAGCAAAATACGCCTTCTTGGGCACAGGCATCCCTGTTGCTAAAGTAATAAGGGAGTAAAGTATGTGGAAAGCAATAGTCTGTGTTGATTGGATTGAATTAACTAAAAATGCTTCCAAAGTTTAGAAATGGTTTGGCTTAGAAAGCCCGGTAATGTGGCTTTAAGGCAACACATCATAGCATTGTGCTTTCCTGTGAGATTTAAATCCTGGGCATTTAAATATCATTTTTTGCCAGTCATATCTTGCCAGCAACAGACTGTTATAAGACATACCTTTCTTTAAGCATTTTAGAATTAAGACCTTTTATGGTGGGGGGGGGATTAGGTTTGAGATTCCCCACTTTCCCCTCCCCCAAATATACTCCCCTTGATCAGATACAAATTTATGTTTCACTGCTTACTGAAGTAATGTTTATCTCATGATTTTACAAAATGGCCTGGATGTTGTTTATTTTAGTTTCTAATGAGTAGATAAGATATACAGGAAAAAAAGATGGAAGAATGTTGCTTTATAGTGGAATATCAAGTTCTCACATGAACTGTTATATGGACTTTCTGCAGTTTAAGCTGAACTGAACTCTTGCAGCCACTGGGGTTGCCTTATTTCAAAAAGTAAAAACCAGGACACCCCAAAAATTGTTAACCAAACCGGAAAGTTTTTTAGACAAACCCCCAAAGTTGTTGAGCCAAAAAAGCATGATTTTTCAATTGACTTGCCTAAGATCCAGAACAAAGCACCGCCTTTCGGACAGCCCCCCTCCCCGATGTCAATTCTGCATTTGAAATCCCGGTAATGTCTGGGAAAATCCGAACATATGGCAGCCCTACCATTAACACCAAGGCAACTGAGAAGTTCCTGATCACATAAGCAAAGTCATTTTCTTAATGTTTCTAGTGTACAGTACTCCAGGACCAAGGATGTAGCTTATAGAACAGTTTCTGACAAATAATACTCTTTCGTGAATGACAGTTAGAACTGACATACTACTGTATTAATTACTTAATAGGATTATAGTGTTCCTTTCAATAGATAATGTAGGCAAAAATTAATTTAAAACAGTTACTTTATAGCATAGTGAATTAAATAAAATTGCTTTCTTCACCTTGTTATCATGAGAGAGAGAAAGCAGAAAGTTCACTGGGAACAGGATTGAGTGGATCCAAAACAAGTCAAGTTTCAAATTGAAGCCAAAAATAGTGTTCTCGTATGGGGAAGGGACTTTCCTGAAACAGAGGCATTTCTAGTTTCACATAACATTCCTATTCCTCTCCACCCACCCAAATTAAAATGCCAGGCTGCTGAATGTGTTCATTCCCACCCCCCCAGACAGGAATGGGTTCTGTGTAAATTTCTTCAGGCGCAGAGAGAGAACCTAAAATACTAACTAGATTGTACCTCAGATACATGGAACAGGGCAGATGTTCCAGAAAACAGATTGCCCTGTGGTACATATAATATATGTGAAATGAGGATAGAAATCTAGCTGGTAGATTAATGGGAGGAACACTCAAAAGATTTCTTGGCCAAAATAAAAAACTAAAATTAGTAATTCTTTTCCAAGTTAAGAAGAAAACATGATAGGGTTTGCCCTTGTACTTAAGCTCTTCCTTCTGAGGGTACACATACAGGCCAAATTTTGCCAATCTGGGAGGTTCATCCTTGATTACAAGTATTGCTTGCACTTTCAACCATATACTCTTATCATGCTGTGATTCATATAAGCGCTGGTAGACTATAAAGTCAATTCCATATTTTTCTGCCATTTTTATAGAATTGAAACAAGGCAGAAGAAAGAGCCATTCATAGTGATTGAGACAGAGATTCTAATTTCAGGTTTATTCAGATCTTTGCTTTAACAGAGAGTATATATTACCTATTTTTGTTGAACTGAACATTTGCAATCAGGACCAGTTTATACATAGCTAACTTGTAGCAATGTGCTAACTGCCCCCAAATTAAACAAATTTGCAAATCAGATTTGCTAGGATTTTAAATAGGCCAAATTGCAAGCCTGTGTATACACTGCTATGATGTCGTGATTTCCTGCACACCCATTTTGAGTATTTAACTGGAATTGAAAGCATAATTCCTTTCTTAACTTGAACTGTGCGGCTCTGGACAGGCTTTCATTAGTTCCGTTACTGTGGCCTTTCAGATGAGTGCTAGAGTAAAGTGCTGTGTAGTGGGCGGTTGCCAGTCTACACTGGTATGCAGATAATAAGGAAACATGAACTGACCTTAAAATCATAATTTGAGGCCCTTTGTGTGCCTCTTCCAGAGGAGGTTTGGAGGGTGACAACACAAGATGGGACTACTTCTGTGGTGTCCCCTGGCTTGTGGAATGCTCTCCCCAGGAAGGGCTGCCTGGTGCCATCTTTTTAGGATTCAGGCAAAGACTTGCCTTTTTATCTAGGATTTTTGGCCCCGAATCGAAGGGTGGCATCTAGCCAGGATGGGAACTTTTAAGTCCCGTCTTTTATCAATATGGCTGTATAACCTTTATCTGTATTTTTATAATTTTAGAATTTTATTGAATATTCTTAAATGGTTTTAATATAAGCTGCTTTGGGTCACTGAGAAAAGTGACTAAGGAATATAATTAATAGCAATAATAACAAAAATAAATCAAAAGGATTTAAACAGCATTTTAAGTATATAAAGGGTGTGATCCTTTCCTACATGGGCAGAGTGTCAATGTATGGAGGCACCCTGCATTTGGTTAAGGAATGTGAATTCAGAGCTCTGTTGGAGGGATCACATGGGGACATTGGAACTGTTCACAGACTTTCATTCCCCATAATGCGCTGACTGCATATGTATCTATTTGCACGGACACTGTATACCCAGATTGTCATGGATGGGACATAAAGTGTTTTGTAATGCTTCTTCCTACAATACCACTGTGTAGTAGGTACTGACTTGCCCATAGCTACCTGGAGGTTCCAAGTATAATATGTTCTTGAATGGCTTTTAGTGTCATTCTGTAAAAATATTATATTTGAAACTGATCATTTTACTTTATATAAAATAATAACCTTGTGAAATGGTATCCATTATATGAAAGTATGACAGATACATTACATGGTACTGTACTGTGGCCTGTGCGGAAGAGTCACACAGAAAGAGAAGTTCACTTCTTGATATGTGCAGAAAATCTTCACATAGGCCTATGGACAATGCAATTTTATATTGAAAGGATTGCACACAGGGTGAAAAACAAGTGATGGAGTCCAGCAAAGGAATTTGACTGGAAGCCATATGGAATGAGGAAATCGGAGTAAAACAAGAATGTGAGGCATGGAGTTCAAGAAAGGGTGGGGGAATATACCTTCCTCCTTGGGGCGAACTTCATGCAGAGATAGAGTTTCCATGTGTTTTTTTTTCTTGACAGGGTTTTTTACTTTTAAAGGTTGCTTGATGAGAAAACAATATCAGCAATAAAAAACAGCAGATGCAGATTTCCCTAAAACTACATTTGGGGGAAAACTGTAACAGTTAAGTTCCTACCAGTCATGCAGCTTTTAAAGGCATAGAAGTGGTTCCTGAACAAGATGTCAGTCCTCTTAGTATCTTTATCTGACTATCCTCAATATGGCACACAAAAACTAGCAGGTCAAGTGTGGGAAAAGCTTCATCTGCTTGTATTCTTCATATTAAAAGCCGATTAATGCTGCTAGGAAAATGAGGTGCCAGATTTATAGATGAGATCTGTGGAAACTGTAGGATGTCAAGGGTGTGTAAGTCATACCCAAATCTCAGGGCTGTAGATCATTTGTAGAGCATGTAGACAGTCACAGATTCAATCACTGGCATCTCCAGGTTGGATCAAAAAAGACCCCTACCTGAAATCCTAGAGAGCTGCTGCCGTTAGTGTACATGATGCTAAGCTAGAAGGACCAGTTGTGTGACTTGGAAAAAGACAGCTTCCTTTGTTCCTAAGGCTTTTGTACTGTTCAGAAATGGATCTTTGGGTGAGCTCCCATCAGGTGTAGCTGTCGCCATTACTGCAACTCTTACGATGAGAAAAGTATTGCCTGGTGAAATTCTTGATTCTGTTCTAAACCAAATACAGGACACTATTATTGTTTAGAAATCAAGAAGCAATAAAAATTAAAATTTCATAAACTGATATGAATTAACTAGCCATTTGTACTGTACGAATTAAATAGCCATTTGCACTTGGGCCAGGCTAGGCCTGGGTATGTTTCTCAATCTGGGATAGATTTAGGGGCAGGTGATTTAAGCAACTACCCAGGGTGTCAGGTTTGGGGATGCCTGCCTTGGACGATCTTCTCAGCTATTAATGGTTGAAACAAATAGTATAATTCGTTCATCTTCACATGAAAAGCTGGCAATGGTGCCCTACATGGCTAAATCATGCAATACGAAGTTGTGAACTGGACTGGAAATGCAATAAAAAAAAAAGGATTCCAAAGCCGAACAAATGAAAGGGAGGGCCAAAAACTCTATGCCTGAGTGTTAATTGGTCTGGGGGTACATCTGCAGGGTGCTGGGCTGCAGCCCAGCCTGATCCCAGCCTTCCTTTACCCCCTTCCCCCTTCTAAGCTACAGTCTAGAGTGGGCCACTAGTTTTCTGTGGTAATGTATGCATATAGTTGTAGATCATTTATATATTTAACAGATTTCTATACCACTTTCTGCAAAATGTATCAAAGCAGTGTGTAGCAATTTAAAACAATAAAACTACATAAGAAATATACAGCTGGCCAAGAATAAATAGCAAAACATAACTAAGGGGGTCTATAAATGCTTTGTCAAGAAATAATGTTTCCAGTTGCTTGTGGAAGCACATCACGGAAGGTGCCTACCAGATCTCTTAGGGGAGACTTCCCTAATGAGGGAAACAGACTTCAACTTGACAGCTGTGGCACTACCAAGAGGGCTCCTCTAAAGACACCAAACAAGCAGGTTCAGATGGGAAAATATATTTTCTCAGATATCCATTTCTCAAGTTGTTCAGGGTCTTGTAAGTAAATAGTAAAACCTTAAAACTGGGGTCCTTTAGGATAGGTGTTATATGCATGCAGTAGAGAGCAGCAGTGAGCAGCTTAGCTGCAGCATTCTGTACCTGTTACAGCTTTTGAACCCCACAAAGAGGGTGTTACTGTTATCTAATTTCAAGGTTACCAATGTGTGAGTCACTGTTGTCTATATGTGTATGGCTATAACTTGGTGGTATGCAGAATGTTACAGACTGAATGTTCCCTCTGAATCTGAGGGAAAATCCAACTGCAGAAAGACAATACTCAGCTGTCACTGGTTAGAACACTCAGCTGATCAAAAGTTACTGTAAATAGAGGGAAAACAGTGCTGAGTATGAAATGCTGATTTAGAAGACTTTTACAAACAATATTTGCATGGAAGCAATATTGGTAGGCATAATTTTTTACCCACTTATTTCAGTTATGCCACTGGATTTTCCAAATCACAGATCATCAAAGTCAAATCATATCATGTTCCCACTGTTTTCCAGGAACCTCATATATACTTTGCAGATTAAATTCAAAAATGAGCACAGATGTGTAATACAAGTATATACTATGCCTCAAAGTACCATTTTACTCCTATATTAAAAGCAGCATGCAATAACGTGTGCCCTGTTGTAAAAATATGCTGTTGCTAGTCTACATAATTTGCAGGTTAGTGAACAATGGGAACATTTTGTAAATAAACAATATACGTTAGGAAGAAACATGTTGAAAAGCATCCTCTATTTTTAATTGTCTTGTTCTGGAAAGAAATAGGAAATCTTTATGATACAATATTATTTTTCCTTAGTTGTCATGGATGATGACGATGATGAATCCTGTCTCTTTGATCTTATTGGGTAAGATTTTTTAAAAAAAGAAATTATGCAGAGAAATAATATAAAGTTCACTTTGCAAAAAGAAAATTTGCACAAATAGTCTATTTGTGTCTGTTAGAAAAGGGCATAACTGTCCTAATCCCCAGATCTGCTGGCTGGAGAAGGTTAGAATTTCATGAAGGTTCCTCCCTGCTGGTGGAGAAGACGTCCTACTCTGTGGGTGGGGCAGGCATCTCTGCAGTGAAGTCCCCCACTTTGCCCAAGGAAAGCACTGCATGTTTAGTTCTACTGCTGGTGTTGCTGCTGCTTACAGTAGCAAGTGTTAGGCCACAAAATGGGGTGGGATGGATACAAAGCACCTTCATTCTCAAAGAGGCTCCAGGTTTGGGCCTCCTATTTGTGCTAACATGAAGCTGGCATAAATAATTCACCTCCTTGAAACCAATGGGGAGATTTTGTTTTAAAAGTGCAGAATTTAAACACTGGGTAAGACCATCTCTCTATCTCCCTGCCTGGTTGGCAGAACCCAATCCCTATTAGGATAGCACTCTAGGGCTGAAATCAGGTGCACACTTACTTAGGAGTAAATCCCATTAATCTCAGTGGAACAATTCTCAATGAAGTTTTATTGAGTTCTTTTTTTGACAAAAGGTGGTATAAGTTTTTTTAAACAAACAAATATGCTTTGGATGCATGTTATGATATGCTTGAGTAAATGAAAGAAATGTTTATCATTTATTTACAGTTATTTATTCACGAGTATATAAGGCACCTTTGTAAACCACTTCGAGGTTGTTGTTTTTAACAAGCAATGTATAATTTTTAATGAAATTAATAAATAATTCAATAAAAATTATCCCAAAGGGATACAAGATATTTAAAATTTACAGTAAAAGAAGTAATGACAAATATTACCTTAATATATATTAAGGGCCACTTGGACAAACTTGAATTTCCTCATAGGAGGAGTGTCCCTGAAAGTAGTGATTGAATGTAGTTCTCTGATGCTCCATTTGGCACCTCCAGCACCAACCTTTTTACTTAAAAGGTCAGTACCAGAGAGTACCAGAGAGTGGCACTTTGCCTCCTTTCTTCCCATCAGCTTGATCGCTGCCTTCTTAGCCTTGGTCATTTTCCCCAGGTGGGATAGGGACTTAACAGTGGTGAGCAGCAGCAGAGGAGTGGGAAATGGCAGCAGGAAATGGCATGAACAATGGTGGCAGTGGTTTGGGAGCTAGTGACAAAGTATGTAGATAGCAAAAAGTGTGCCCACCGTAGATAGGTCTCTTGCCAAAGGCCCCAGCATTTGGAGCTGGTCCTTCACAAAACGATATACAATGATGTAGGGAATAAACAGAGTTATAGCCAGCTAAGTCAGTGGACTAGTCATTAATTTCAGTGGTTCACCTCTGAATATGTCTTATTTGGTTCAGTCCATAGCTGAGAGCTATTTTAAAAACAATGGAACAGTTAAATATATTGCTTTATAAATATATATTTACACTATTGATAGGGTTTGTTGCAAACAAGCCAGGGTTGTTGCTTTGAGATGCATGCTCTAAAATAGTTGGGGATCATAGCCTCAGTATTCAGATGGTGTGATTCAGAAAGATTCTTCCTGCTTGTGCCATTTTAATATATTTTAAACAAATGCAAGATTCTCAGACTGATCCATCTTACTTTCCTTGTTTGCATTTTTAAAGAGATGCACAGGCACTGAATTATTTCCTCCATGGAGCAGGCAGTAAACCTGTAAGTATCATATATTCTGGTATGTTAAATTAATACATCTAATTTTGCAAATTGTGCTGCTCTTATTGTAATGCTTTTTCTGTATTACAGAACAGTGAAGACTTGACTAATGCAGGATATTCTGCAGCCAACTCAAATTCCATATTCGCCAATATCAGTGTAAGTTTATAGGAAAAAGTGTAATTTTAGTGCATGTTAGTGTGTGCCTAAGTTCTCCATTCTTATAATACTCCTATCTGGGTGAGGTAAAAGCCAAAAATAACATGCAGGCAATTGCTATTTAAACCAAAGGATTGAATATGGGTGAAGAAGGAGGAGAATTCTGAGCCTGTGCACTTGTGCACTAAGCTTTACACCTGGTTCAAACTTCTTGCTCAGTCTTAATTTGGGTTAATGCTGCATGCCACTCATGGTCATTAATCTAATGATACCTGACTTAGTAGTATTCTTGAGAGATGTTCTGAAAGGGGGGGGGGAGAGAAACCTATAATGAGCAACACTGTACTACTACTAATAATTTGTTTTAAAATAGTGTTTTATTGTTATTGTTATTACATTTACATCCCACCTTTCCTCCAACGAACTATATGGTTCTCCCCCTCTCCATTTTATCCTCACAATGCTTTTGTGAGGTAGGTTAGGCTGAGAGACAATGACAGACTCATCCATTGAACTTCATGGTTGAGTGAGGATTTGAACCCTGATGGTGTGTATTACAATTTTTCTTTCAGAGTTCTGATCCTAAGTCATCAATCAAAGGTGTCGGTAGTCAGCTTGGAGAAGGGCCTAGTGATGGACTACAGTTGCCAAGTAGCCTTCAGTTTCTTGATGATGAACTTGAATCTTCTTCCTTGCCTGATCTTAGTGAAGATCAGCCTTTTGATATCCTCCAGAAATCTTTGCAAGAAGCTAATATTACCGAACAGACTTTGGCAGAAGAGGCTTATCTGGATGCCAACATAGGCCCTAACCAACAGTTTGCACAAGCTCAGCTTCATCCTTCCTCATCAGCATCTTTTACTCAGGCTTCTAATGTTTCTAATTACTCAGGTCAGACGCTGCAACCTATAGGAGTTACTCAAGTGGTACAGCAACCAGTTGGAGCATCTTTTGCAAGCAATACAGTTGGTGTGCAACATGGCTTTATGCAACATGTGGGGATCAGTGTTCCTAGCCAGCATTTGTCAAACAGTAGTCAGATTGGTGGCTCAGGACAGATACAATTAATTGGTTCATTTAGTAATCAACCTTCCATGATGACCATCAATAATCTTGAAGGGTCTCATATTATTTTGAAGGGTGGTGGGCAGCAAGCACCTGGAAACATGAGTGGTGGTCTCTTGGTTCATAGACAAACACCTAATGGTAACTCATTGTTTGGCAACTCAAATTCCAGTCCAGTAGCACAACCTGTAACTGTTCCATTTAATAGTACAAATTTTCAGACATCTTTGCCTGTGCATAACATCATTATACAGAGAGGTCTTGCTCCAAATTCTAACAAGGTTCCCATCAATATCCAGCCAAAGCCTATTCAGATGGGCCAGCAAACTACCTACAATGTGAATAGCTTGGGAATACAGCAGCATCATGTACAACAAGGGATTCCTTTTGCTTCATCAAACTCCCCTCAGAATTCAGTAGTTGGTCCACATATGTCTGTTAATATTGTTAGTCATCAAAATGCAAGAAAAGCAGTTACCTCTCAAGCCGTAAGTAATGCCGGTGGTAGTATTGTGATCCATTCTCCTATGGGACAGCCTCATGCACCTCAGAATCAGTTTCTTATACCCACAAGTCTGTCAGTAAATCCTAATTCGGTTCACCATGTCCAGACCATAAATGGACAACTTCTTCAAAATCAGCCTTCCCAGCTTGTTTCTGGCCAAGTATCCACTGAGCATGTTATGCTAAACAGGAATTCTACGAACATGCTTAGAACTAACCAGTCATATTCAGGACAGATGCTGAATAATCAGAATGCTTCTGTACAGCTAGTTTCTGGTCAGACATTTGCAGCTCCTGGAAGCCAAGTTATAGTGAACCATGGGACTTCTCAAATTGTTAGTGGCCAAGTTCCACTACAACAGGGATCATCAGCTGTGTTGCATTTATCCCCCAGCCAAGGAAACATTTCCCAAGGTAGAACAGGCTTTACCACAATGTCTCCTGGACAGTCAACAGGTTCGAGTATCTCGTCAAGCAACCGGTTTACAGTTGTAAGTTCTTCTGCTACAGTGCATCCCAACATTGGTCCATCAGCCCAGACTGTTGCTTCCGGAGGAAATTTTGCTGGAGATCAACTTACACAGCAAAACAGAACACAATTGTCAGTCACTGTCTCACATCGTCTTCCAGTTTCTTCTTCCAAATCAGTCAACACCTTTAGCCACACATCGGCAACCCAGCCCCAGTTTTCCTTTGGCCAGGTATGGATTGATGCAAGTTCAAAATCTTTAGCAATTTAATTTTAAAAAAAATTGAAATCTCTTTATAATGCTGGGTTGTGAATAATGCAGCCAGCCTTTGCAGCTTCTAAATGTGTGCGTGTATATCTATCTATCTATCTATCTATGATTTTATTGTTTTACAGCCAACTATGCAAACAAATAACACCCTAAGAACCTTTAGAATCTGTGTCAATGGATCAATACTTCTTGGTTGGAAATATTGGGTTGTATTCATTGTTGTGCATGGAGAAGATGGCTCTTCCGCTTCCCCTGTAGCCTCCTGTACCCTCTGAAAAGCTTCTTTAGAAGGTTGAAGGGGAGGCCATGGGCTGTGTCATACGGGGCAGCAGTGAGAGGTTGAAGGATTGCTGAAATTGGGCAGAGGAATCTTGTTTTAGTAGAGTGAAATTCTTGACATTAGAAGACTTGCCCCCTAACTGCACTACCATGTGACAGAACCCACACATAGGAAACTGCTTTATGCTGAATCCATCTAGCTCAGTATTGTGTACACTGACAGGCAGTGGCTCTCCAGGGTTTCAGACAGGCAACATTCCCAGTCCTAACTGGAGATACAAGGGATTAAAGCTGGGATCTTCTGCATGCAGAACAGGTGATCCGTTACTGAGCTACATCTTTTTTCTCCAGGAAGACACCTGGAGAAGCTTTTGGTGTACGGGGAAAACGGGAAGGGAAAGATCCAATGTTTGAACTTGCTTTCTACTCGTGCAGCGTTTCGTACAACCCGTTATTTCTGTTCTTTCAATAAGTCTTGTTTAGTTGCTAAAAATGAGGTTTTCAGAATTCTCAGTAGTGATTTAGATATTCATTTAAAAGTATTGAAGTCACATTGTAGCTGATTCCTGAATACTATTAATTGCAATTTGCACGTTGAGACTGCATGAGAGATGGGAAGGAGAGCTCTTGAGGTTGTCAGACCATTCTCAAGTGAGTGAGAAATGATTCCATTTAATATATATTTGTACTACTTGTTCTCTGTATCTTTAAAGATCTGGAACAATTTAGAATTTGATGATGGAAGGTATTGATTGAAGGTCCAGCAATGGAAAACCATGGCTTAACAAATTTTAGTTACAATCCAACATGGCTCAAGAAATTCGGAAAGTCTTTAATTCTGGTGTGCAAGCAAAAGGTGTAGGGAAAGTAGAGTCTACTGGCATAGTGCTTCTTGGTCTAATAAACCAGAGATGTTATATCTGAACTGGACAAGATGCCACAGATGTTTGTACTGATTGCTAAGATCATACAAGCCCTAAAAAAGCCATATCTAGCCTAGCATCCTGTTTTGCACAATGGCCAACCATTGAAAAAAGGGCAATGATTTTGTGTGCCAACCTTTCAGATAAACAAATTCAATTTCTCTACCTATCGGAGTTCATTTTCTTTGTAGTACAAGGTAATAAAACTGGAACTACAGATAGAGTTTATATGTTTTCTTTTGTATATAGGATATTGGCTTTTCCTTATCTTTTACCTTTAATAATCTGCATAGTATTTATGTGTGGTGTCTTTTTTCAGAATCAAAAAAAAGTTACGAATTTGGTGTCTTCAGTTTCAACGTCAAAGTCACAGGATAATCTAAGACCACCTCAACTAACAAGTCTTTTAGGTAATAAATTGCTAAGTCAGATAAAGTTTTTGTTTTTTAAATACCTTTATTCAACTCCTTAGCTATGAAGTGGGTTGTTAACAACAGCAAAGGTTTGTCTTGAATATTACTTGAAAATTTGAACTTTCAGGCTGATATTAAGCTGTGCTACTGAGAGTTAACACATGTGTCAGATTCTCTTCGTTTATTTATATGCCACTTTTAAAACAGTTTTCTGAAGGCGGCTTCCAATTAATGCAATAAGAGCTTTTAAAATCAATCTCTAGAAAACATTTAGCTTAAAAGGGCAGCATAGAACAATTTCCGGTCAGACTGGTAAAAAGCTATATTACACTTTTAAACAGAGAGAAAATCCAGTTAAAATATGTATAGATAGAAATTTAGTTTAAGTTCAGTAGGGTGGAAATTTAGGAAATGCACTTTACAAATTGCTAAAAGTCTTCTGCAAATTTAGTTGATTCCTCACATGGCTTTTACAAGTCATAAATGCTTTACAGAGAACCAACAATTTACCGAAATACATGAAAATGTAATGTTAGAAGGATGTTTTCATCGGTTGCAAAGTGAAGATGCATGAGCAACGGAGCTGTTTCCTGAAGTTAGCTTTGCACTAATTTCTCAATGCATGTATGGCCTTCCAGTATTGTCATTGTTCATCTCAGAACATGGGTGAACTTCTGGGACTGTGCCTATGGCCTAAGGCATTTAGGAGTATGTTAGTAGTAAACATAAACTTGGGAGCTGTGATTGGAGCACACATTTATTGTGGAACACACACGTGCCCTTCAGATGTTACAACAAATGTGTAGCTGACCTGTAATGGAAGTGCAGGAAGCTATCTTTTGTTTAACCTTGAAGTGACCCTAAGATTTGAGACAAGCTGCATTAAGCTTGCCTGAGTAATTGAGCACATTAGTTCTTCGGGAACCAAAAAGAGAAAACTCACGTACTCATTGGAACTTGCTCTTGAAAATGTGAACTTGGGAGCACAGCCTAAAGAAGTCTCTACAAATAACAGCAGAAGATATTTCAAACAGAATATATATGTCAATATAGTAAAAAAAGAACATGATGCTTTGATTAATTTGCCTGATTGAAACAAGAGACCGAAGTGTGGGGGTGGGGGGAGACTGGACAGTACTTTAGTATGTGTGCTATTTACATTATGAAGACAGGGATTAGCTGGGCTCCTCATGCCTTTTTCATTGATACCTGTATACAGCTTTGGCATTCTGAAGTTCCATGAAATGGCAAGTGGTTAAATGCTGGCTTAAACCTCACAGGCTCATAAGATAGTTTTTATAAATATTTGTGTTTTGTATGGGCTTGCAGTAGTTTTGTGAAAGCATTGCTATTTAAATACGTTTGCCTATGTGCAAAATTAATTTTAAATCATTCAGTGACATAACTAGACAGAAGATTCCAAATATTGTATAGGGGATTGTTAACGAATCTTCATAATATATCTTCTTATAGGACAAGATACCGGGGGCAAAATCATACAGCAGCCTATAGGCACAGCACTGACACACCAGGAAAAAGCAGTAGGATCATCTTCTGCCCAAACAAATGTACAGGTAGGAGGCCCATTAATGTTCCTGAAAAGGCTAATAGTGCACCAGTCATTTCTTGTTTGTACTATTTTCTACATAGAATATAATAACCTTTCCATTGGTCATTTGTGAGAGGAAATCCATGATCGTATATACTAAACATCCCATCACCTTTAAATATTAAATGAATATGTGCTGGCTAAGCTTGACGGTAGCTTGAATCCAAATAAGCTGGAGGGCACAAGGTTGGAGAAGGCTGTGTTAGCATATCTGTTGGCACTGCATGTGCTGTCTTTGGATCAGGCTGCAAAATGTGCAGTCCAATCCTGTTCTTATTTCCTTGGAGATAAATGCTTCTGAGTTTAATGGGGCTTATTCATGAAAGTGTGCATTGGATTATTGCCTTTGTATCGGTCAGATGCATATATTCAGGAGTATAGAGCCATGCTGTTGATTTATTTTCTTAGTATCTCAAAAGATTAAAAAATGCCTTTTTGAAAATCCAAAAATCTGGTCATACAGTGGTGCCCCGCAAGACGAATGCCTCGCAAGACGGAAAAACCGCTAGACGAAAGGGTTTTCCGTTTTGAAGTTGCTTCGCAGGACGAATTCCCCTATGGGCTTGCTTCGCAAGACGAAAATACCTTGCGAGTCTTGAGATTTTTTCGCTCCCCTTTATCTAATCTGCTAAGCCTTTAATAGCCTTTAATAGCCTTTTAGCAGCTAATCCCCTAAGCCTTTAAGCCTTTAATAGCCGCTAAACCGCTAATAGCGCTAATAGCGCTAATCCGTCAATGGGCTTGCTTCGCAAGACGAAAAAACCGCTAGACGAAGACTCTCGCGGAACGGATTAATTTCGTCTTGCGAGGCACCACTGTATTGGTAAGGCAGTCTATATACAAAATGCATTTAAGAGATTTTTTTAAACCCCCCCCCCATAATTTTATTATCTTAAAGAGATTTTTGAGGCCATTTTTATTTCTGTTGGATGATATGCACAACTGTATAATTGATTTTTATAAAAGAAATTTAGCCCAGTGTATTTGATGCATGTTTTGAATCTAGGTCGATGGCCATACAATTGGACAAAAGAGGCCTGCTGCTAAACAACTAACAAAAGGAGCCTTGTAAGTTGTTTCCTTTTATGCATCCTTTTACTTTAGACATTTCTTCCTCTCTTTCCCTCCCTCAAATTTTGTCAAGTTGTTACACACATGTGGTGCTATTGTAAACAACTGACAATAGCAATCTTCCCATTAGTATTCTACAGCAGCTACAGAAGGACCAGGCACATGCTGTGACTCCTGATAAAACTCAGTTCAGATCTTTAAATGATGCAGTCCAGAGACTCCTCTCATATCATGTGTGCCAGGGATCACTGCCAACAGAAGAGGATTTAAGAAAAGGTACTTTTTTGCTCTCCAAATGGTTGTGAAAATGTTATGCTTCTGGGGTTTTATACCAGTTAAATGTTATATATTGTACTAGGCAAAAAGTAAGAATGAAATGCTTTAAATGACTATTTTAGTTGTTAAGAACTACTATTCTAAATGTATTTTCTTCACCTTTTCAGTGGATAATGAATTTGAATCTGTAGCCGCACAGCTCCTGAAAAGAACACAGGCAATGTTAAATAAATACAGATGTCTGCTCTTGGAAGATGCTATGGTAAGACTAATAAAAAAAATACGTGTGTATGTGTATATTATGGATTTGTGCATCTTATCCCACATGGATTAATTTATTGTAACACAGCAATGTGCAGCTTTCATCTAATTCCATGGCCCGTATCTCTCAACCTGTGGTACTTAGGAATGTTTAGCACTAACAATAGATTTCACTAAACAGATAATGTTATCATCTTGTGTTGACAAGTTCACTGGGTGAGATCTTTTTGACTTCTACCATGTTCCCCCCTCCCCAGAAGTCTTAATGAATTTCAAAAAATGTGAGCGGGGGTTGGGGTTGGTCTCCCTTCATAAGGTATGCTTGCTCAGAAGAACTCTCCTAGCCCATCAAGCCCATCAGGGATAAATGTATAGGAACAGAAAGGTCTGAGCAAGCATATTTGCATGATAATTTAGTCCTTTCAACTATTTGTTGATAATAGCCTGGCCACAATGATTCATGCATTGGTAAACTCAATATTCTATTATTGCAATACGTTCCATGTGAGGTGGCCAGTGGGTCTGGTCCAGAAGCATCAGCTTCTGCAAAATGCTGCAGCTAGACAGTTGGTAGGGACAAACTATTGCCATAACCTAAATGATGCTTAAAAGCTTCTATCGGGAGCTCATACACTACTGAGCCAAGTTCAAGGTTCCGGTATTAATTTACAAGGCCTGTAACAACTTGGATCTTGGGTACCTAAAGGACCACTTGATGCCTTTTATCGCTGCTTGATCACTGATGTCTTTGGGGGAGTCACTGTTACTGACACATACAGTGACCCGGAACGCAGCACCCATGCAAACAGAGAGTTGCTTGTAGCAATTACATACACGGACGCTGATGACGTTGCTATCTCATCACAACAGGGAACATTAATCAGTACCAGGAAAAATACACAGTTTGGCCACATCACACTCACTTGCATTTCACAGAAATTGCTTAGAAAGTACCTGCACATTTGCCCCATAACTTCAATTCTAGGAGGGGTAGAGAAGTGCTTCTTTTTTAAAATGAAAGTTATAAGTCTGGGGGACCTTTCCAGAGGCAGCAGTGAAAGCCTTTATGGGGCACCATGGTGCCCATGGATGCTGGGTTAGTAATCCCTGATTTAGTGTTACTTGTGTACCAGCCTACGGTCTTCATTTTTTATAGAGGCCTCTTTTAAAAAAAACACCTCATGGCTTTTGCATCCACCTGTTTTATAAAACATGCACACTCTTTCACATCTGGCATATTTAAGCAAAGTTATTACCTGCAAAGTTAGGGCTGCAATCCTGTGTGCACTTTGAAGTAAAGCCCCACTGAATTCAGAATGAAATCACTTCCAATTAAAAATACATAGAGCTGTGCTGCATAAAAACTTTGATATGGAACAATAATATTATAAAAATAGTTTTTTTCCTATGTTCACTAACTTTTCCTAACAAACCAATTTTACAAAACAAATGTGTGTATTCATAATATACAAAAACACCTGTTTTTCTTTAAAAATAACCCCCATAATGAACTTGCAACCTCAGTTTGCCTGTTGAACTTAGCATTCTGTTTTATAGTATTGTTAGGAAACTTCATGCTGCTCCTTGCAAGTAAAAGCTAAAGTTGTTAATTATAGAAATTATTTTGTTTGTTTCTTTTCCAGAGGATAAATCCTTCTGCAGAAATGGTCATGATTGACAGGATGTTTAACCAGGAAGAAAGGCAAACTCTTTCCCGGGATAAACGCCTTGCAATAGTAGATCCTGGTAGGTAACGTAACCATTTTAAATGAAAGCCTCTTCGGCTGCAGTCCTATTAAAATAAACCTGGGCGTAAATTCTATTGAGCTCATTAGCTCTAGTAGACATGTATAGACTAGCACCGTACCATATAGAGAAATGATTTTAATATTTATAACAGTGGGTTTTTTGCCATAAGTAAAATTAGAACACAGGAAGGATTTATATTTGTGAGTCAGACATAGAGATGCAACATCTGTGGAAACTTGGGTGCTGCAGGAAAAATATAGCTTTTTTTGGATGGGGGGAGGGGAAACCCAATCATTTTGACATCCTTGTCAAACCTAAATTGTATTTATTTATTTATTGCTTTAAGAACTTTAAATACATTCTGCATGTTTAAAGCTGCAATGTTATACCAACCTATCTGAGAGGAAGCCCAATTAAACTCAATAGGACTTGCTTCTAAGTAGATATGGGTAGGACCGCACTGTTAGCAGTTAATATACAAAACAGTGTTACATTTATAAAGTGAAAATGTATATATTAATTCATTTGCATTCAAATGAACAATTCTGTCCAGAGAGATGGAACTCCAGTCTGTTACACTTTAAGTTGACTACACATACTTTTTTGCGAGTTTGCAAACAGAAATAAATAAAGTTGAAAACAGAACTAATCAACAGTGGGTTGGTGCACATATAATCCTGGTTACCTGTAACCCCATGTGTCAGCGCATGCTTCCTCTCTCTGGAGCAAATTCCCTTTTTCTGGTTTTAATTGTAGTTAAGGGAAACAGTGGCCTAGACCTTAACCATGGTTAACACTAACCTGAATTCCCCTTAGCTTAGGACCTGAAACCCACTAAAACCATATTTTAGTACACATGCTTTAGTTCTTCTATTCAGTGGTCTTCAGCTTGTGGGCTGGGACCACAGCTGGGTCACAGCCAGACCTTGATAAGTGGGTCCCAACAGCAATACCATACAGCTATAGTAACAAAATTCAGAAGGGTCTGAAAATGTGTGGGTCCTAATTCTGAAAAGATTGAAAGCTACTCCATTCTTTGTTTTTCTGTCCATGATATGTCACAATTCTTTACCAAAACCCTTGCTTTCAAATTTCAGATGGTTTTCTAGCAGACTTCTGTTGTCCATCCACACAAATTGACAAGATCGCTGATGAAACACAGCCGACTGAAAGTGATCATCAATCTAACAAATCTTCAACGTCTCAAAACCAGACTGCTAATACCCAAATCAAAGACAGATCAAGTTCAAGCACAGCAGAGTCTTTAAATCACAGCAAACTTCAAGTAGTGCCTAACAATATTATGAGTTCACAAGGAAACAGTTCTGTTAAAAAATCAGAAAGCCTTGCAAAAGCTTTAAAATTTGAGAAAACAAGCTCCTCTCCTGAAAGCCAACATATGGCTGATTCAGAACAAAAAATCGCTGGCAAAAATCCAGGAAAGTCAAATGAAAACTCTTTAGGTTCTGAAGATCATTCGTCAAAAACCTTATCAAGTGTAGATCATGGTACGCATAATAAAACATGTCGGAACACAGTTGATTCTCACTCAGAGACAACATATAATCATTCCCTCCAGGACAAAACTCCTCGGAGTTCTCCAAAGAATGAGGATTTGCATCCAGACAATTTGAAAGGTTCTGGGGAACCCCAAAAGGATTTGCTGCTCAATAAGAGTTTAGAGACTACATTCAAAAACATATTGGAACTGAAAAAGACTGGGAGGCAGCCACAGAGCGAAGCAACCGGCAGTGGCTCCCTAGAATTAGAATATCCAAACTTTTCGCTTATTTCTTCACAAGAAAACTGCCTGGAGAAATTTATTCCAGACCACAGTGAAGGTGTTGTAGAAACAGACTCTCTTTTAGAAGCTGCTGTAAATAGTATCTTAGAGTGTTAATAGTTACAGTACCATGGACATATTTCTCTTAGAAGTAAATGTGAATGACACCACAAGAACAGCCTGACAAATGTCAAAGGTTACCCTTTCTAAAGTAGATTCTGTTTTGTGTTTGAAAGCAATACTCATTGTGGTTACAGTGAGGTGTCCAGTAATGTAAAACCTTGAGAGAAAGCTGTCTGGTAGGGCCTACACATTATGATACAGCTTTGCTGATCGTTTTAACATTGCAGTTTAATGAAACTGCAGTTCACTAGGCCCTAAGTTAACAAGGTAATATACTGACAATCACAGTCTAGTAACAGGTTTCTTAAATAAAATGTTAGGAATGTTGCATTTAATAGGAAAAGATCCATTGCCTCCGCCCACTATCACTTGATTTTGAGATTTAATATTTGGGGCTAAAAAAAATTCCCCAGTACCTCTGTTTAGAAATGCCTATCTCTTGAGGTTTGGAACAGAGAGAGAGGAATTGGAAGGAGAAAAATGGCATCAGTGTTTACAGGGCTTTATACTTTTAAAGTGCTTTTCTATGCTCAGTGAGCAGAAACAAGTATCTTACATAGGAATTTGCTGTATTGAATTACACTGTATAGTTTTTGTCACTTTCAGCACTGCGTAAAACGATACATGCTAGTCTAAGAAGCTAGTAGATGGAAAATTGTATACAAAGAGGCTATAATATAGCCATAAAATTCTGTATAGACACACACAAATGTACATATAAACACACACACACACACACACACACACACACACTAGTTTCATCAAGAAGAGCTTTTTCATTTTCTAATTGGATATAGTCAAACTTAATCTTTCTGATGTGGTATAATTTTTTCTAGACCAAGTGTCAAAAGCACTTTTATTTGGAAATCATTGTAGTAGTTTATACTTTAAGGAGATAATAGCCTTAATCTGAACAATTTAAAGGCCAGTGTTTGCTATTTGCTTATTTCTCCTTCTTGCTGTTCAAGAATGTCTGTCATCTGTAGCAGCAGTTATAGTTACCAAAATATGTACAAACCAAAGTTAATTTTCTAGCCCATTAAAAAATTATAGGTTGAATTTAGAATTTGCCGTCCGCAAATTTGGACTTTGCCTTCTGTTCATGGAAGGCTTTTAATCCAGTGGAGGAGCCTGATGGCTGAGTAGGCTGCAACTTTTGCAGATTCTTCCTTCCTCCTACAATGCTCAGTACCATTTCCCAAATTGTTCCAAAGGGTTTCCCAACCCACATCTGGAGTGGATTTTCATAGGGCTGCAGGGGAAGGGATAATCAGGAAATGTCACTTCTTCCGCATCAACCAACGGAAGAGTCCCTGAATCCAAGCCTATCTCTAAAGGCATTTAATACATAATCTAGAGCCAAAGGAACCCCTTGCATGTTTGCATTTGGCTAGTTGTCATCATGACAATATAATTATTTATTATTTTAACCCATGGCATTTCCCCATTCTTCCTGTGTGTTTTAGAAATTATTCTACCACCATCACCAGTGCTGCTAGGTAAATTGCTTTTGTGCCATTAGTAAGAGGGATGTGGCATGTATGCCTACTAAAAAACAACAACTCCAAGAGGTGTGTTTTTTGTAAAGCAATCTCTGCAGCTTCCCTTTATAAACATATTCAAAAGCTTATGGATATCCTTATGGATATCGTCATAGCCTTAGAGCCCTGAGGTGCAGCAGCCTCGACCCAGTGATAACTGTGTGCATACAGAGGTTTGGAATTCAAGCATTCTCAGTACTGCTTTTGGGAGCTTCCTCTTCTATGCTTGTGTGGAGCTCCATGGAGCTGTGCGACACAGCAGGAGTAGCTAACTGTGGTTGTCAGTTGGATTGCCAGAGCGCCCAGATAAAGGGCGGAATTTTGCTTTCTTTGCTCCGATTTTATTGTAGCGTTAGAGCCATATTCTGCTCTTTAAGTAAACACAAAACACTACCACCGACCTTGTGTTGAAACAGAATAACTATAGAATAATAAAAGATAAACAAATTCAGCAAAATAGTAATGCAACTTAATGTTCTGTTGACTCTTAATAGGATTAGAAAGACGGGGGGCTTTAAAATTTTGTTTTTATTACCACTTTTTAAAAAAGTGCCAGTTTTAAAATTAAATATTTGTGAAACCCCACATTCCCCAAAGACAGCATTGCCACTTTGGTTCATTTTTGTAGGCATGGGTCCTGTACTTGCTTTCTTATCAATGATAGTGCAGCAGCTACTTTTCCATCAAGATGCTGCAAAGAATAAATTCATTGAACTGTAACCATAATGAGATGTCTAAGAAAGCAGGGTGTATGTTGCACCAGTCACAGAAATCAGTTGATCTAGAATCTGATTGGAAGAATGATAAATTTGACACATACTTGTAAATTTGTCTTCTTTTGGTTTTATCTCACAGAATAAAGTTTCTTATCAGCTGTACAGAATATTCTGAACCTAAATACCAAAACAAAGCTTACACATTTTGAATATTATGTGAGAGTTTACTTTTAGATAAAGGTTTAGTTGAGACATCTGAAATGCACTTCCATCATATGTGGATTAAATTCCACCTATATTGATTCCAACATTTATGCTGGGTACCCACTGAACAAAGTTCAGCTAAATTAACCTACGGTAGCTAATGTATTTTATTTATTGAACTTGGTTTTAGAGCTCTGAATATTTTAATTGGTAATGCAGTAAAAATATTTTTGTTGTAAAAAAAAATGTGTGAATTTGTTACGCAGCACATGGTCCTGAATCCAGTGAAGACCATTTATTTGTGCACAACTGCTTTGTAGGATTGGTCTCTTTACTTCCTGGATGTCTTTCCATGTTGTCTAAGGTTAAAAGAAAATTTTAGTTGGCAACTATGAAAAAAAAAACCTGATTCAACAATGTCAGCATAATTGAGCTGTTAGATTTGGGAGGCCTTACAGACTGACTTTACTGAAAGAGGATGTGTCACTTGTTGTCAGTGTGGTATGGATTTTATTTGCTTAAATACTTTCATTTGTATAGTATGTCTCACTTGAAATTGCTTTGTATACATTTTGTAAAAATATTTATAAAATGTTTTGTAAAAAAAAGTATAACAAATTGCAGTTTATTTTGTTATGTTGGATAAATACTGTTAAAAGACAACACATTGGTAAAATATATTGTTAACCCATGGATAGGAAATGTTTAGCTGGAGACTACGAATTGAAACAACCATTGCAATACAGCCAAAGATTTGGGAAAAATGTGTTATCTGTGATTGTCTTGATTTACCCAAGATTAATAACTAGGTTTTGAAAAGGATTTCTTTTTTAGTTTCAAGTATCACAGTGGCAGTATATTTTTATTACGTTTATATCCTGGTTTTCTCCCAAAATGGTATTAAAAACAAATATATACGGATTTCTAAGTGGATTCTCAGCTAGACACTGATCAGACCAAGACCTGCGTAACTTAATTCATAGGCTTTAGCTATTCTCCAACAGAGCTGGAACAAGTTCAGAAAGGGACAGCAAAATTGATCCAAGGGCTGGAGCAGCTCTCCTGTGAAGAAAGGTTACAACATTTTGTACTTCAGGAAAAAGAAGAGATTAGGTGGAGACAAGACAGGTCTCTAAGATTATATACACAGAGATTATATGTACAGAGAAAGAAAGGTTTTCTTTCTGTCTGTTAATTCAAGCCATCTGATGAAGCCAAATCTTGAAAAATTCAAGACAGAAAAAGTAACTTTTCACGCTGCATAATTTGTTGAATTTGTGGAAGATGCAGTGATGACCACCACGTTGGATGGCATTAAAAGAGGATTAGACAAATTCATAAAATAAGGATATGTTTTGCTTCTAACGTTGGAGGCAGCATATTGCAGTATAGCAGTGGGACTTGTAAGTAAGAACCTAAGAATGCAACCAAAGTTCTGTGTCAGGCTAAAGACCCATCTAGTCCAATGTCCTGCTTTCATGACGCCAACCCAAGGAGGGGAGAGTGCTGTTTCACTTGGTTCTTGCTTGTGGGCTTCTCATTGGCAAGTGGTTAGCCAATGTGATGACTAAAGAGCTCATTGGCAAGTGGTTAGCCAATGTGATGACAGGATGGTGGACTAGAAAGGCCTTTGGCCGCCAGATCCAGTAGGGCTCTTTAGTCTTAGCACTTCTCATAAGCGCTGGGGAAATACATAAGAGTGGCTGGGGAAACCCAGTCGGATGGATGGGATATAAATATGATGATGATGACCCATTCCTATTCTCATACAAAGGATTTCTGTCCACCTTGCAGCATTACATGCTGCTGATTAGACCTTCCTGATCTGCTATATGCTGTATTCATTTATTCTACAGCAGTCATGCCTTCACTGGTCTTAAAAGGTGAGATAATATAGTTCTTTAGGCCAAAGAACTACTTGTCTGACAACATTTCACCAACTGTTTAAAAATTAACCTCACCAGCTGGGGTATGTGGAACGGCAGCTTGTGCAGTGCTCAAGGCCTCATCGTTCACCCACCATCATCCAGGTCTTCTTAATTTTAATATTATTAACTTATTTCTTAGCCGTCCTTCACCAAGAAGCTGCAGGGCTGCAAAACATTGTGTACAAAAGCACAACATTTAAAAACTGAAGCAAGCGGCAGTCACTGCGAAGGACCGGGAGGGGCAGAATGGGGGCAGAGTGCTGTTGCGATCAGATCCTCCTTGCAGGTGTGTGCATGTCCGTTTTATGCATATCCGGCACTGTGGTGCAAAGCTCCCTCCTGTGCCCCTCCTGTTTCCCAGAGTTATTTAGGGAGGACAGCACTGCCGGCGGGGCTGGAGGAGGCAGGCAGCAGCTGGAGGGCGGCTCCTCTGGCGGGGAAGAGGCGGAGGCTGGATGTGTCGCCTCCTGGCTGAGCTGGCCACTTTGTGCCGCGGTGGCCACGGCAGACGGAGGCTCCGGGCGCGGCGCTGCTTCGGCGCGGCATGGCGGAGGCGGTGAGCTGATGCTGGGAGGTGCTGCGTCCAGCCTTCCCCTCTTCCCTGGTGCCCTCCAGAACTTGGCACCCTGGCACCTCACACCACTAGCCTCTATGGGTAAGATGACCCTGGGTGTGTGATGGGTCACTGAGAACAGGACGCTGGACTGGACGGGCCATTGACTTGATCCGGCCGGCTCCTCTTATATTATGTCAATAGGAGTTGTTGACAGACAAGACGGGGAGCTTCTCCCTGTGGAGCAGCTGGAGAAGGGAGATAATAAACAGCTGGGAAGAAGCTATTAGACTTGAAATTTCACAACTTATAATTCGGGAGGGAAGGAGGAGAGGGGTTGGCTGGCATACTGTTGGAGCAACAAGAAAGCAGGGGGGAAATGCCTCGGGGAGGTTGGAGCACCCGGTTGGATGTGGGGAGAGGTGTCCTGCTGCAGACTATGCGTCACTACTGGGAAGCCAATTGGAAGAAGGACAGAGGAACTTGGGGGCCTAGTGAGCTACAGGCCAGGCCTCAAGAAGTTAGCCCTTCTCTCTCTTTCTTTTTAATATATATTTTTATTAATTTTTGAACATGTAAATTCCAACCATCATTTGATATAACTTCTTATCTTATACAATATTTTGGACTTCCGTCAACAACCTCTGAAGATTTTCCGTTCTTTATCACTTGTTCTGCATTTCTTAATTTCTCTATTACTTTTAATTGTCCTTAACTAATAATTCTTTTCAAAGTCTTCCTTGCAATATTTCACAAAGTCCTCCTTACAGAACTTCTTGCAGTCCTACTAGCGTAATCTGGTTATCATAATTGCTTTTCAAACAGTTCAAATATTTACTCATAGATCTAAGAATCTATGATCCCGCAGGTTTCGAATCCTTCCAGTTAATTTATCTAATTCTGCATAGTCCAGAAGTTAGCCCTTCTCAATCCACGAAGCAGGAAAGCTAGAGTTGCCATATGTCTGGAATTTCCCGTACATATCCAGAATATTGCAGTTGGAAGCAGTGTCCGGGCAAAAATCACTAAGATGTCCGGGAAAATCTGGACATATGGCAACCCATGTCGGCAATGTCGTTTGAGGCAATTTCCCTTAAAAATAGCTGGAAAACGTCTTTTTGAAGATGCCTGCCTAATATCAATAGGCAGGGAGTTCCAGAGAATAAGTCCTGCCACACTAAAAGATTTATTGTAAGGCTGAATGAACCTCTTGTGGGGCATGCAACTGTTAAAGCTTCAGGGGCTGTCTCTTCTGTTGCAATCCCTGAATGGGGTAACTGTGCCCCTGAAGGACCAGGTGCGCAGCCTGGGAGTCATTTTGAACTCACAGCTGTCCATGGAGGCGCAGGTCAATTCTGTGTCCAGGGCAGCTGTTTACCAGCTCCGTCTGGTATGCAGGCTGAGACCCTATCTGCCTGCAGACTGTCTCGCCAGAGTAGTGCATGCTCTAGTTATCTCTCGCTTGGACTACTGCAATGCGCTCTATGTGGGGCTACCTTTGAAGGTGACCTAGAAGCTACAACTAATCCAGTTACATGGGTGTAAAGGAATCTTATTATGGGACTCTCTGCCAAGATTTGAACTGGTATCTAGCTCGCGTGCTACCGCATCTTTGGGAAGATCCACTGAATTGCATCTACTGACTGATCAGTATCCTACTTGCAGCAAATTAAGTACAATAATCAAGGAAACAGCCATTCATATGAGGAAGCCTCAGATAAATAAACTGCTTTATAGGGAGAGGTGGGGAAGCAAATTCCGTACAGGACCTGCAGTTGATGAAGCATTTTCAATGAATTCAGCATCACTCTATTGCCATCTGCTGGCAAGGGGCAGGTTGAACATCGTTCATTCTCTTTAAGAACGTTAAGTCACGTTTCCAGACTGTCAATATTTTGCTGAAGGATTTCAGCACACTTTAATGTTTGCACAAGTCAAGCGGATCAAAGTGCCGTGTTGCCTGCAGCAACCAAGCCACATTAAAAAACAAAAAACCTGACTTTTGTGGGTTTGAAATGTGATGGGGAAATGAGGAAGTGTGGGATGAACGAAGGACTAATGGTAAAGTGTGTAAACAGCACACTGTCAAATCAGGATGAATGCTCCTTGTATAATAAGCAGAAAATCCTTGGAAATTTCACTTTCCCAATTTTTGCAATGCAGTTCTCTAGCCAAATAATGTGTGCAAGAATGTATATGCTAAGGTAAAATGTGCCTATAACTACGTATATTAGTGAAAATACCATAAAAAATGGATTGAATTAGGGGAAATTGCTTTGCAAAAAAAGCACATGTCAACAAAATTGCATACAAACTAATGTATAGTAGGAGAAATCTGACTAAAATTCTGATTAATTTTTAGCAGGAAGATTTTTTTAAAAAAAACATTGCAAACCGATGTGGAAATGTGGAGAACTGAACTTAAATTTGGAAAAATGAGAAACGGAGAGAAAGCGAAAAGATAAATGCTACCGGTGGCCAGTTGGATTACTGGTAAATAGGTAAAGGTAAAGGGACCCCTGACCATTAGGTCCAGTCGTGACCGATTCTGGGGTTCTGACGCTCATCTCGCTTTACTGGCCGTGGCAGCTGGCATACAGCTTCCGGGTCATGTGGCCAGCATGACTAAGCCACTTCTGGCGAACCAGAGCAACGTAGGGAAACGCTGTTTACCTTCCCGCCAGAGCAGTACCTATTTATCTACTTGCACTTTGACGTGGTTTCAAACTGTTAGGTTGGCAGGAGCAGGGACCGAGCAACGGGAGCTCACCCCGTCACGGGGATTCGAACTGCCGACCTTCTGATCAGCAAGCCCTAGGCTCTGTGGTTTAACCCACAGCGCCTGGTTGTTTATTTGCACTCTCTGCTGCCTTTCTGAACTAAAAATCAGGAAACAATTTGCTGTGAACTCTATAAAAACTAGGTTAGCCTCGCTATTAGAAATAATGATACATAAGTTTTTTGTCTGTTGAAAAAAGAGAAGATTATCTATCCATCCACAATTGATGCAGGTTTATTTGAGTTTTCAATCCTGCCTCTAGAGGGAGAAACTATATTACCTTTTGACAAGCTGTATACTGTAGATATAAAAATGTTTATACCATAGAATCATAGAATCATAGAATCATAGAGTTGGAAGAGACCACAAGGGCCATCGAGTCCAACCCCCTGCCAAGCAGGAAACACCATCAGAGCACTCCTGACATATGGTTGTCAAGCCTCTGCTTAAAGACCTCCAAAGAAGGAGACTCCACCACACTCCTTGGCAGCAAATTCCACTGTCGAACAGCTCTTACTGTCAGGAAGTTCTTCCTAATGTTTAGGTGGAATCTTCTTTCTTGTAGTTTGGATCCATTGCTCCGTGTCCGCTTCTCTGGAGCAGCAGAAAACAACCTTTCTCCCTCCTCTATGTGACATCCTT